GATACCGATGCGGCGCTGATCGTCTGCTTGCTCACCCGCGTTCATGAAGTAGCCCGGCCAGTTTTCTTCGCACGTCAGGTAGGTACCCCATGGCGCCAACACACATCCTCCGACATGCTATTGTCCCCGCCACCGCGTCATCCTCCTAACATCGACACCGACACAGCCTCTCCCCGCACCCTCCATCCCTTCCATATCTTTCGTTTCATATCTCAATCCAGCCCAGTTTTGGTCATGCACATCGAGGGACCTCATTATAGCAACACGTCGTCCAGCTTTGCTTTTGTCGAGCTACAGGGAGTCAGACTGGGCCATGTGCATGCGCGAGGAGGCGTTGCTGTACCTTCCATGCTGCATGGATCTGCAGACCGTCCAGACTCTGTTCCATTTCCGAGGAGTGGAACTATGGGATGGCATTACAGTAAAAACTACAGCAATGTGCTTCCGATTTTAGTGAAGAACTCAATAAAAACGGGGCGAGGGAAAGGAAAAACGAGAGGAAAGTCTTTTGTTAGGACTGGCCCTGACTGGCTCGTCGGTCGCCACCTCAACGTGAGTGCGGGCGCAGCAGCTTGGGGGGAAGGAATGAAAGGGGGTGACTAATACCTAGGACGCGCTATCTACGTTCCCAGTGAGAATGGTGTGTTTTATTTTCACTAATCAAGGGGGGGCCGATGCCATATCATAGGGCAGGCTTCAAGGACTCACACTTGGGCGGGACAAGATAAGGCCGCGCCATGATAAGGCATGCGGGCGAGGGTGGCTGAGGCAACGCTTGACCATATGGCATAACTAAGACGCTGAGAGAGACGAGACTTTGCAGTACCAAAGGTGGTACCGGCGCGGATGGCAATTTGATGAGAGAGGGACTCCAGGACAGATGTAGAGCGGGCGCTGGGAGCGCCCAGCGTGTCGAACACAAGAGGCACAAAGTGCCAGTCCAGAAGAGGGAGCCAGCCGTCGGCTTGTAGATGTAGAGCGGAGCGGATGATGCGAGCGTGCGTGCTTAGCTTGTCAGCATCCGCCACTTCGGCGGCGCCGGCTATACTGCGAGCAGCCGGGATGAGGGCCCCCACGCGGTAGGGGCTGCGGACAGTGACATCGTAAGCCATAGGACGGTCTGGCAGAGCTCCCGCAGGAGGTGGAGCCGGCTGAACGAGGAGATCGCCGGGGCGGTGAGCCGTGCCAGGGATGAGAAAAGGGACTTCCATATCACAACTCAATCCTGCGGCGCGGAAAGCATGTCGTGCCAGAGTGTTCCGCACCGTGTTGTGACGATGCACAGTACCGAATCCGTGCTTGCACATGGCGGCATGGTCAGAGAATGGTATGAGATACAGCCACGCGTTGTGTGCAAGCCGTATAAATACCTCTCGAAATGCCCGCCTTATCGCGGATGACGATGAAGCAAGACTGTTGGCTGTAGCTGAGCTGGCAGAACGGTAGAGTTGTCAAAATGGCCGAGCTGGTACGTTCTCAAGCGTGGGTTCGAGCCCGGTCCCGGAATGTCGCGGTCAAGGGGGTAACTGTATGGTGTGCATGCCGGAGGAGAATTGGCAAATTTTCTTCCACTATACTGCCAGGGGATTTTAACCCCTGGTGCATTTTTGCCCTCCACTGTAAGCCGTTTTTAAACAAAAATTAGCATGCAGTGCAGCGCACTACCCTTCGCCTTATCCCAGCCATCTGAAATCATCTTCACGAAACGCAAAGCATAATTCCAAGAGAGAGGCATGTGTCGCAGACGGGTGGGTAGAGTGGGGAAAAAGAGAGGCATATCAGCGTCCTCTTCGGCCTTCTCGGCCTCCTCCTTTCCATCCACCTCCTTCTCTCCAACCTCTTCCTCACGCTCCTCGACTTCATCTACCCCCCTCTCCACCGCCACCTCCCATCCTCCCCCCAACTTCCCGCCCCAGCGTCCGCGGCGCCGTACGCCACTGCCGCGCAGACCCTGTTCCTGGCCGTGCCCATGTCCCCGCAGCACGCCGCCCGCACCTTTGTTGCGTCGGACGCCGTGTCGTGCCTGGTGCGCTGTAGTGGCAACATCTCCAAAAGTGGCTCAGTGCCACTACAACCACTTTTGGAGATGTTGCAACTACATGCGGGCCGCCTTTGCGCGCGACCGCGCCGCGGTGCACGCCCTCTGTGCCGCCCTCGTGCGCGACCCGCTCGTCGCCTACGTCCCCGCCCCGCCCGACTTCGTCGACAACTCGCACCACGTCTACCCCTTCCGCGTCCACTCGGCGCGCGAGGTCTTCTAGCGCATCGGCGTCCTGCACGCCCCGTTAAGTACTCCCCGTTCACCCCCCCGCCATCCGCCCAGGCCCCCCCCGCCGCACCACCACCGCATAATCACTTCGAAGTATACTCGCTAACGTTTACATTCCGTTTTGTCTCTAACTGTACGGCTCCACGGCTCTTTTTCATTGCTCAATCACTCTGTATGTTTGAGGAACATTTCATTCACTTAATGCGCTCACTCTTCGCCAGTGCAGGTTCCGAACTCATCGCTTGAATACAACTCAACGCTTTTGCGCTTTCGCGACCCCTTGGATCTGGCCGTCCGCTTCCTCTTCGAAATGTTTTCCATCTCTCGAGGCTTTGGATCTTTATTTTGGGATTTGACGTTGTTGTGAATGAAATAGTGACCTGTGGAATAACTTTCTTCACCAAAGTCGTTCGGGTTCGTTTGGAATACAATCAGGAAGTTTTACGCATCAAGAACACAGTCACTAAGTTTCGTGCTTAGTATCTAACTATCATATGGATTTCACATGCGACATGCGAGCTATCCATAGAGACTGAGATGCTCTACCAACTACGAACTTTCTTCGTCCGAGAAACTCTCATTGTCGATCTCATTGTCGATCTCATCGCCCGAATACATGTCAGCACGCCTACGTTTTCCCCTGGTGACACGATTGTTGTTGCCCCTTTTCTGTGCTCCGCTTCCCTTCGCTTTTGTCGGCTCGGGAGTTGCATCGCGGCTTTCCAGCCAGGCTTGGAAATCGGCAAGCATTTTGCCATTGCTCGCAGAGACGCTTGATGCGCGACCGCTGTTATGTTCCGGAGCTCTCTCCGCCAGGTTTTCAACGGCTCCTGCGACCATAACATCATCATGTGCATCTAATGCGTTTTTGAGACGAGCAAGCAACTCATCGCGTTGGTTCCCCTCATTCCCTTGGACTTGTTTGGATCCACTCCGACACGGTCGCTGACCTCTAGTCTTTGTTTCCTCCTTATCCTTTCTTCGCCCGCGCGCCAGCGGGTTAACTCTCACCCTAGATACCTTCTTTCCGGATTGACGCGGAATGGAAAGTCTCTGCGAAAAGTTAATTTTCTTTCTAGCTCTTGGAGGCGCCCCACTGTCTTTTAGCAGCGGAGCTTTCAGGGAAGATGATCCGATCGGTCGCGAGTTGACGACACCCGTACTGCTCCTGCGGGACGGTGGAGTACTATTGTTCTTCGATGGCCGTGTCCGGGCGCTTGTAACCTCATCAATATTCTGTTCGTGGGTATTTCTAGAATCGCTTCCATTCTCGATAAGACTATTGCTGTATGAGCCGTCCGGAATCATTGTCCGAATGCCTTGAAAGCAAACAGATCCAGAGTGCCTCTCTGTCGCAGTGATGGCACTGCTCATCACAGCAGCGGAAACGGGTGGAATAGGTTCCACATCGGGTGAGATGTCTGGCACTACCACGCCTGACGGCACATCTTCAATGCTGTATCGAGGTAAGCTGACTTTTATCTCTTGTTCCGATGCGTTTAGAGCGACTTCCCCACTTCCAGATGTGCCCACAGCTTGAAGGTTTCTTTTCTCTCTCGTTCTTCGGCTGCCCTCTGTACCTTGCGTTTCGAATATAGCTTTGCAGCCACCATCTTGCGAGTTGGAAATATCCGCACTCCCTGTGTCAACGGATCAAAATTCTCATCTAGGGCAGTCATCAAAACCAACAGCTCTATATGCTCTGGCTTTTCTCTTCTGAGCATGTCATATGCCTTCATTCCGTACAGTGAACCTATGACGGATGGCGCGAGATCCGCAACAATGCGCATGAGAGTTTCCGCACTGTTCTTATCTTCCACGTCGGTTCTATATCACCTGTATTGCATATTAGGGTCGTTCGTATGCTTCTGATTATGATCGCGAACAAAGTTTCCGACTTCCCGAAGTATGTTGAAATATGAGTTCGTGTCTTTCCCTTTGGCTGACGACGGGTTTCGTTTATCCTTTTTTGTGTTTGTTCGTTTTGCGATCTGTTCTAGAATGGGTGGGGTCGCGCTACAGTGAGATCATTAGGAAAAAGTCCGGTGGGAGTCAGCTTTGGACGGAGCTCTCCTAGTTTTCGCCGTACGGTTTCAAGTGGCATGGGCAGTAATTCCTGATTTGGTTCCATCATGGAATACGTGGATGTAAGGATGCTTCACGGGCGGCAGAGGAGTTCGAAGTGGCGTGTAGAGGGGGTGGAGCTATCGCGGATGGACGGTGGAGTAGAAAATGTAGAGTTATGCCGTGTGGATGAGGAAACAAGGTTGGATGTGAAAGAGAAGTGAAACGTGGACTTGTGGTCAGCTTTTCAGTAATCCGGTGTATTCATGCAGCAACCGCGCTTTCAGATCCGAAGCGAAAGGATGTGCGATGTGAGAAGCACGGGTGCTCTCTCTCTATCCTTCGTTTCATCGTTCCTTTCGATTCGTGTACATCGTGGACTGACCAAAGCCCTCTTCGATTCGTTCTCACATCGTACCACGCAGGATGAAGCCACGTTGCGCATCTCTAGGTTTCTTCTGAGTTCAGAGATGTCGCACCGGCAACTGTATGTTTTCACTACCATGATCTAAGTCTCCGCAACTATCTAAGACGTTTATCTATCTAACTCCCTTCCCGATATACAAAATGAATCTTTCGGAACACAAGTTCATCTGTCTATCAGCATATCGCTGCAAATGCATGTAGGAAAGCCAGTTGCACGAAGCACAATGAGAAGACACAGACGAATTGCAAATGCGCAAAGGAGGCAGGATGGTTTAACAGAGTTAGGGAACGGTCCAATATATTCTGCCGAACGCGAAGAGGAACAATTTCGATCCCTGCTTTCTTCTGGTGAGACTCAGGCATCCTCCACACAAGGACATAGGTCAAATGGAGTTTCAGAAACCCATAACTCCGCTTCCCAAAACCTGGTTCAACTCGAAGTCGACATTGCGGGTGAAGGTGGGCATGGAAGTGCGCCATACGGCTTTGCGAGCGACGATGTCAGTGCACATTCAATGCCGGGAACCGAAGATGAAGCGGACGTTGTTCAGAGCATCAGTGTAGTGGATGTGACCGAGTTAGTTGGTGTCATTCCAGATACTCCGCACGGGGATGGAGCGGAACTTGAGGAGCTGAATGGCAGCGCAGGTGTATTTATCGGTTCAATTGGTAATGAGATAATAGACTCTCGTACAAGCAATGGGAGTAGTCTTATGGAGCAAGTTGGAAAGGAAAACAGTTGTGACATACCCGTACAGTATGGTCCCGCATTGATTGACTCTCAATCACATCATGATGATATTGAGCCTGCCTATCAGCCACAGGATGCATACACTTATGAACC